ACACACAATGTGAGACACACATAATGTGAGGATCTGGCCTGGTTAATATTTGGATGGGAAATGATCAAAAATACCCATGATTACTAGGTAGGGTTAAGAAAGAATCCTACCTGCTTGACTGATGCACAGTGACATACAATGTGAGACACACACAATGTGATGATCTGGCCTGGTTAATATTTGGGTGGGAATACCCATGATTGCTAGGTAGGGTTAAGAAAGAATCCTACCTGAAACACTGTAGATCTACTGCCATTCTGACTTGACGGTCCTGAGTCAGATGAACCAATGGTCTAAGACAACATCATAACAAAATATTTCTGCCATAAGTTTATGCCTACTTGCTAACAATTTTTTTATTTCTAGCGTTGAGGTATTCTTATATATAAATTGATTTTTGCATCCAAATCACATGAAAGGTGCTCATATAATGGTCATTCCAGATGATCTAGTGCTGACCCCAGAAGTGCAAAAGCCATAAATGAGTAACAGTAGTCTATGCTGTGTATGATATAGCATAGATACATTGGATGGTGCTTGTTGTACATCACAATTATGGAGCATGTTCCCAATGAACACCCATTAGCATTACTCTTTAGGGTCTCTTCAGATTACTATTCCAATCCATACCTATTTTAGGGAAGGCTCAACTCTTATGGACTTCCTGGAAAATTCCCATGGAGATGAGCTTTTTGGAGCTTGGTGTGACATTTGGCCATCAGAAGCAATGTTGACAGAAACCTGTGAAGCACCATGTTGTTTACTGAATGGTGGGGAGAGGAGAAACCCATGCATAGATTGCTTTCTTTCAGTTTCATTCAGTTTCTTTAAAAAATGAAATATAGTTAACTATGCCACAAGTTTGCTGCAAGAGCAGAGCCACTACAGATTTTAATCCAAGTACTTACAAGACAGATGTTCAAGGAACAATTGGTTTACATCTACTTAAAGCAAATTAGAGGTTCAGCCTAGAAGTTTCTCACAGAATGGCAAGACAAAGATGCATGTTAACTATGAAGAGACGCTTGCTTGATAAATGCAGGCCACACCCATCTTTATAAGCAGACCAATTCTTTCCTTGATCTTTTGTGTCTCACATTATGTGTCATTATGCATGTAGCTTTTCTCAGAGCTGCTATATACTAAAAATATTGCATCTGCCATTTTAAGGCACATCTTTGACAAATCTATGGCCACAATGAGCTGAATACAGTTGTGAAGAATAAAATCACTAAAAAGAATTGTTTTGCTAATTTTAAGGCTACAGTATTTTCCAACACTTTTGACTTAGAACTCTGTTATGCTGAAATTTATGGCTGTCATATATTTATTGCCATATTTTCCTACCATTAAGTTAATGATTGAGACTTATGTATTGTTAAATAGAATTCATTCTATCTGTGGAGGCATAGCCCTCCTGAGAACATACAGTTTCAGTCTGGGGAGGTTAAACATTGGAATACCCTTCATTTCTAAGAATGTTCCAAAACAATACAGCTAAGCACACAAAGGGGCGGATGGAGGGAGAGAAAGTTCTGCATCCTTCTGTCATTAAACCATTTTTCCTGAATGTTTGAAACAGCTTGAATGATTCCATTTGGAAAGGATAGTCGTTTAAAATTTATCCAGAATCAAGGGACAAATCTGCACAAGTGTTGTGACATTCATCCTCCAATTTATGGCATCTGTGACCACTCACCATGAGACCCATTACTATCTGTGGTGCACCTGCCATTTTTCATTTTGTTTTTAAAGAGGTAGGAAAAGAGCAAAGAAAGAAAGAAAGAAAGAAAGAAAGAAAGAAAGAAAGAAAGAAAGAAAGAAAGAAAGAAAGAAAGAAAGAAAGAAAGAATGAATGAATGAATGAATGAATGAATGAATGAGAAGAAGAAGAAGAAGAAGAAGAAGAAGAAGAAGAAGAAGAAGAAGAAGAAGAAGAAGAAGAAGAAGAAGAAGAAGAACTGGTACATAGCTCTCTTTGATCTCCTGCTGTGGCATGATCCATCAGCATTTTCTCTTGGTTGGCAGGGAGCACTCAGTATAAGTCAGTGGCACCAGCAATGATGTAGGGCAATGGATGTGCTAAGAGGCAAAGATGGGAAATCTAGAAATGAGGATGGGATGGTCAAGAGGAAGAGAGAAGGGGAAAATGCTGTGAACACACTCACAGGAGGGGACTACTGCAAGAAACAGGGAACATGAGAGACACATGTTTGAGCACATATTGCAGTTTCAGTCTGTTTCAGTCACAGCATCAGGTGATGAAGGTACACATAATTAAATGGAGCAAGAGAGGATATATGAATTTGCTTACGATCCATCTTGTAGACTTATCCATGGACATGTCACAAAGCTAAAAACCTTCTAATTTGTTAACAATAGATTTATTCTCATAGGATGAAATATTAGACATCCTCCCTATGGATATAAAACTAGTTATTCATTCAACTGCAGCATAATTATATTTATAATTAATTTGAAGGGCACAAACACAGCAGTGTTAAATGGCACTCTAATTTGCAGCCAATTCCTGTATTCACTACATTTATATTCCTCTTTTCTCCCTAAGAAACTTGAAATTGCAAGCCTGAGAATGCATGGGATTTATTCCCCAATTAAAATGTTTATTCAGCAATATAACACAGTGGCCATTATGGCCATTATAGTATGAGAGGCCAATTATTTATAAAAGACCCATTATGAACAATTTTGAACTGCTACCAGAACATTTATTTCATATCAAAAACAGAAATCCAGAGGGAGCTTCCATCCTAGGGCTAATAAGAGCAACCAGAATAGAAATTTCCATTGGAACCATAATGGAAAGAGAGAAAGTTAACCTCATTCTTTCTTGTATATTGCATCATAAAGAAAATCTATCCCCCAGCTGTTATCAAAAATGAAATAAGAACATCAGATGATGCATTTAATGTCCCATCTAGATTTGGACTTTGGATAAATGGACAAATACAAATACTAAAGTTAGAGGCAGATATGTAGACGAATGTCTCTGTCAGTGATGTGGCAGTTTGCAGAGTCCAAAAGGTCCCAGTCCTCCTACTAGCTAAAATCTGATATATGGCAAGTGGAAGGGGTTGGGGTGAGATATTTGTACCCTGCTCTAATTCTCTCACTCTTGATCAGATGCACCACGCCAAAGCTGCCAAATTAATTGAACTGTAGAACAAGGTAATATATACCAGATTTCAGCATAGTATAAGAAAGAGTTGTTAATTAAATAATCTTCCTTACATTGCACAATCACCATTTGTACAGGTGCTGAAAAGTGGCTGTGTTCTCATAAAGCTATCAGACGTTTTATGTTGACTTTTAAAATAGTGTTTTGCTTGTATATATTCATAAAGAATTAAACTGCAACACCTACAGTTTTGTTTATATTCTAAGATGATGTACCCACTCACCTTCCCCCCCCAAGATAATCTACAACTCCCACATTTGCTTCCAGATTTCTTTCTGCTCTCTAAACTTTCTCATCTTTAAGCAGGCCTAGTATAGTGATGCGATGCTCAGTGTGGTGCGGTGGATACAGTGATGGACTAGGAAAACTCACTGGGACCATGGAACTGGTGAAACCTCTCCTTAAATATCTCACTTATCTGGAAAGCTCTATTAGGGTCACTATAAGTCCATTCTGACTTTACAGCACAAACAACAAATGTAATGACAGTAAGAACTATAGAATAAATCTTCCTGATGATATTCACTCCCAATGTCTGATTTAAATTCAATTAAGGTTAATGAAATAGGCAGAAATTCAAGGAATTCAACACAACTATACCCAGCCTTCTTGTATATTCGTATCTCATCTCTTTGTGCTTTGTTGGAGGATGTTTCTGAGTGTCTCCTACATTTGAAACATTGCTTGTTGGTCAAGAATATATCCTCAGTGAGGTTCCAGACCCTCTAGATCAGGATAGGTAGAGCAGAGGTTTTTGTGGGAATTACTTTGTTCTTTTCACTTTTAGCCAACAAGTCTAGAACCAAAGACACATAGAATTCTGAGTTCAGGAATTTGTTCTGAGGACCAGAAGTGAATGGAGCTCATGCTCTGTCCACACAGAAATCTACTGTTGATTAGCTCAAGCATTCTACATTTCAGGATGGGGTCAGGAAAATATTCTCCTGACTCTCTTATAAGACAGCCAAAGGTGGGACATATTTTTTAACTCTGCTACAAATCGCCTCATGATCTAACAGTAAATTGACATATATTTCCTGCCCACTCTTGCTTACAGGCTAGTTGGAGGGAAAGGCTCTATGTCCTCTTGTGGATCTGGGGCAAAGTTACAGTTTAGCTCAATGGTAGCAGGAGCAAAAGATAATGTCTGAACCAGAATGACAATACAGGCTGTCTGTGCCTGTTCATTAGGCAAGCACCAAATAAAATATATCCTGTGATTTAGCAGAAGTGTGGAAGAAATCACAGTTTCCAACAAAGCGCATTGAATTAGAAGAAGCCAAATAATGTCATGCCTTAATTAAGAAAATATCCATGTTCATTTTTAAACTCTTGTTTGTCATCTAACATTCTCTCACATAATGTTAATCTGTGGTGTTTTTAAGTGATTTAAACTTTGTATTTAAGAATATAATACTCAGGTCATCACATTCATATTAAAAGTCAGAAATGCAGCTTTGGTCCCCCAGCCCCAGCCAAGGAAGAACAGTCAGCAGTGACTGGAAACCAGACTTTCCCAGCCTGTTGCATGCTGGCTACTGCAATTCTCCCCAAGCAGCATAATCAATAGGGATGAAAGAGTCACAACCCAATCCATATGGAGGCAGTCAGCTGAAGCAGAGTTTTGAAAAGAGATTCTTTGAACTATGCCTCCCAGAATCGCCAGCCAACATGACCAGTGACCATGCTTGCTCAGGTATTCTACGAGTGATAGTCTAAAAATGATGAACCTGAAGTTAATGTCCTTTGGACACATCATGAGAAGACAAAATTCAGTGAAAAAGTCAATAATGTTGGGAGAATGCCCAAATATGAGATGGATTGTTCCAATAATGAAAGTCACAGCCTTGAGTTTGTAAGACCAAAGCAAGATTGTGAATGATAAGACCTTTGAGAGGCCACTCATTTGCAAGGTTGCCAGAAGTCAGAAATGACTTGAGAACACGGAACATCAGCAACAGGTCTAAAAAAGTTGCGGCTCAAGCTCGAATTTGAGGAATGTTGGTGTAAGTCCAATAATGAGCACTGCACGAGATTTGAATCATAGATTTGAATTGTACATTTGAATTGTAGATACAGTCAACCCTTGACTTACGAATGGCCTTAGTTACGAACATTTTGACTTACGAACCACTCTGATAGGAAAATATGGACTCGACTTGTGAACTTCAATTCGAGTTACAAATGGAAAAAAGTGCGGGGAAGGCAGGGAAAGTGGGAAACTTGAACTTTCAGTTAGTGAAGAGGCTGCTTGTCTGCTTCCTCGCTAGTCCAAGCAGTTAGAGAGCTGGGAGAGAGACCTGGGACTGCCTGGGACTGCCTGGTATTGTCATTTTTAAATGTAAAATTTAGTTTAAAAGGTGCTTTGTTTGGATTAAACGGTGCTTGGGTAAAAGGGAGCTCGGTTTGAGTTAATACCTGCTTGGGTAAAACGTGGTTGGTTGCTTTCAAAGCTGCTTGTTTTGATTTAAAAGGTGCTTGGTTGAAAAGCTGCCTGTTTTGGTGTAAAAGGTGCTTGATTTAAAAATTGTTCTTTTTAAACAGTGTTCGTTCATTCCCTCTGTGGTTTCCTGACTTTTTTTTAACCTACGCCTTCTTAGGTTTTAAAAAAAGAAACAATCTGCCCCTAGTGGTAGGAATGGATTAACCAGCTTTGCATTAGTTCCTATGGGAACTAATGCTTCGACTTACAAACCGCCCTGCAACCTAAGAACCATAAACAGCCAGAACAGATTAATGGGTTCTCGGTGCATTCCTATGGGAAATGCTGGTTAAAGTTAGGAATTTTTTTACTTACGAACGTCCTTCCAGAACAGATAAAGTTCATAAGTCAAGGGTTGACTGTAACTATGACATAGAGGAGGGAAAGAGGCTGGGTTGAGGGTGGGTGAAGGAACAGGATCGGGCAGGGGCCTTCCAGACATGTGGAACAGGACACATTCTTCTCACTCACATACATTTTGTTTATATGAAGACTTATTTCTTAGACCTTGACACCCTGAATAGTTATTTGTACAAGATTTATGCAAGATTTATTCATTAGGAGGATTTTGTGAGACCATTGCACTTACTATTTTTCTTTTTCTCATTCTAGGTGTCCCTGGAATTCTGCATTGGCACTTTCCATGTTGAGGTAACTTAACTGCTTCAATATTGTTTAAGCATCTATTTGCTGGTGTGGCCTATAATCTATTGATGATTTTTAAAGAACTTGCTAACTATTGTGAACAAATATGTGAACTCCATCACCCCACACACGGACTATCTCTGTAGCCCTTATGCACAAAGCACAGCCATTCTTTCATATGGACTTTTCTTTCACATACTAGTTATGTCTTCTTCAGAACCCTGGCCCTATGTCACCTATATCTCCAGTGATCCAAGCTCCTTTGTCACTAGACATTGTAGAATTCAATCCCATATCTACATCTCCTTTCTGATTACTTGGCTTTCCAATATCTTGATTTCAATACAATAAGCAACTCTAATATCAGTAATGAAGCCAACCTGACCTACGTTTCTCACAGTACTGGCAGTGATTTATGTCATTCCACGAGGAAAACTTTCCCTGCTAGAAATTTGAATACTTGTGAACATTATGTGACATTGAAGAGGTTCAGCCCGTAACAGTTGCTGACAACGTTTAGCTGAACATAATAATGTTATTTTACTTTTTATTCTAGGTGAAAGAATGGGATGAAAATGGGGTGGGTCGATGGAAGACATATCGGAGGCAGAAAAGAGAATGGATTAAATTTGCAGCAGCCATTAGAGAAGAAGAAGATAATTCCAGAAGAAATCCAATTGCTAAGGTAAGTTCTAAGTGTATTTTAAAAATATTACTTGGCACCTAAAATTTCAAAGCTAACAAATGGTTCTAAGCTCAAATGGTTCCTGCATGCTAGCTAAGAAGCGAAGCCTCCTGAATTCAAATAAACTGTATAACAGCAATATGGCAAATGTTAATAATGAGAGAATGTTTTGTTATAATTTAGCTGCTTTAAGGATCTCTCTCTCTGCTTTGTTGGGGGAGGCTACTGTTACAAAAATAAAACCATTGGACAATAGACTTCAAAAATAGAAATTCTTATGTATGTAAGTAGGCTGCTCAAATCCCAGGGATTCAGTATGGATGTTGGCAATTTTTGAGCTGGGAATGAGCAGTGAAGACCCACCACCTCTATCTTCAAACTTTGTGCCATCTTTAGCACTTTATCCTGCTGTTAGATCTTGGTTAGTAAGCCTGCTTTAAGTTACAGTTCAGATTAAAATATAATGTAATGGGGAATTGTTAAAGAAACAATTATCACAGTGCCAAAGTTGGCACAATGCGAGAAAAGAGGTTTGGATGTAGGGAGACCCAACTATTGTTCCTGGCTTAACAACATATTGTTTGTTAATAGAGCAATCCTATACATCCAGTTGAACTGAGAGTGTGTTGAATCCAAACCCCTCCCAGTTTAGTGATACTCTAATTATTTAGGACTATTCTCATCCTGGCCTGACTTTTTTGTGACTGTTTATCTGGGCTCAAAGAGGTTTAGATTTGTAGAATGTTGGCTTTTAATTCACATTGCCTCTCCTTCCTTCCTTCCTTCCTTCCTTCCTTCCTTCCTTCCTTCCTTCCTTCCTTCCTTCCTTCCTTCCTTCCATTGTTTTTCTGCCAGCAGATCTTAGCAAGGAGACCAGTTCTGTTGGCAGATAGAGATCTTTGACCAAGAGGGTTCTACTGTGCCTAATCCTTCTAAATCCCTACTGCCAGTGCATCTTTGAGTTAGGATTGCAAGACAGTATCTGTGATTGAATCAAACTGGATGGAGTATGCCAGTTGCTTGGAAAAGGAAGTGCAATCTTCTGAGTGTCTCCTTCCCTGATATTATGCTACTCACATAAGCAGAATGCTCTTGTGAGAAGTTGTTTTCATGGGTAAAGTGGCTGCACATGGGCAGACTGGCTCTCGAGTACAAGTGGTAACATGAAGCTGTGGAGCCGGTCTGTTCCATTTTGATTGAGCAATCCTAACCAACAGATTATGGCATCTCCATGATTTTTTACAAGGATTTGAGATGTTACTTTTAAAACTACAGCTCCCTAGAATTAATTTTGTTTTTGTTTCCTGTTACAGATTCGATCAGATTGTGAAGAAACCCAACCACTTATATACAAAATAACCGGAGAAGGGGTTGATCAGCATCCCATTGGAGTATTTGTCATCAATCAAAGGACTGGTGAAATTAACATAACCAAAAAAGTAGATCGAGAGAAAAATCCAATATTTATTGTAAGTAGTTCTAACTATTCACAGAATTTCTCCCCTTTTATAGTTACTGAGCCAAATATCTGAAGAACCCTCTCTGACTATATATTCTACTGATTTACTGACCTCATCTATGCAGAAGTCGGTTACCATCAGAAGAACATCTGCTGGGAAGCAGAGATGAGACCTTTTCAACAATGTTCTGCAGTTTCATTTGGTGGAAGTCCAAATTTATCTCCTTTTTGTACAGCATTCATATTTGTAACACAGCTTTTCTAATAAGAAATGCTTTGGGGGCCATTAATTTTGTCTTTGTGTGCGTGTTTGTGTGTTTTACTTAGCTGATGTTTCTTCTCTTCTATGGACTAGCACTTGGCTTGGCAGCGCAAAAGAAAAGAGAAAGAAATAAGCAATATCAAAAGTTACTAATGGTCCTCAAAAAAGAGGAAAAAGCTTTAAAGATAAACCCTACAGCACAACAAAATAAAAATAAGGTTAATATATTACAGCATAAAATCAATCTGCTTGACCAGGAAGAGAGGGCAAGGAAAGTAAAATTTACAAAACAAAACTTTTTTGAAAATGCAAATAAACCAGGAAGATGGCTCACTTATACAGTGTAGCTCTTTCTCCCCTGCCATTAGAGAGTATGTGATCTGAGGAGACTGCCTGCTAAGGTATGGTGCTGCTTTATGCTTTTTAAGAACTGTTCTTAGTATTTTTGCAGTGTGGTTTTCAGCTGGGGGGGTTATGTTTCTGTGCTGTGATGGGTCTTGGGGGGTTGTTTGTTTTTTGGTCCCCCCATTTCTGATGGGGGGTGGTTGCTTTTTGGAGTGTTTTTCCCATTTCTGATGGGATTTGGGGGTTGTTTTTTGTATTTTTCCCCATTTTAGATGGGTCTTGGGGAGTTTGGTTGCTTTTGGGGGAGTTTTCCCATTTTTGATGTGCCGTGCATGCTTCTGTTGCTTTTTGCTTTGTTCTCTTTTCATTTCTGATCTTCTCCCTTTGATTTCTGTGCATTTCTGACCTTGTCCCTTCGTTCTCTATGCATTTCCAATCTGCTCTATTTGTTTTCTGTACTTGTGCAATAGGTCCTGCATGCTTCCCTTGCTTTTCTTCCCCCCACCTTCGGCCAGAAGGGATTAATCACACTTCCAATTAGTCTTGCAGTGATTTTTTTTGCATGTGTGATTTTTTTTTCTTTGGAAGGAATGGATTAATTGCATTTCAGTGTATTCCTATGGGAAATGGTGCTTCGAATTACGACCATTTTGAGTTATGACCATCATTCCAGAAAGGATTATAGTCGTAAGTGGAAGCACCACTGTAAGATTAAAAAAGAAAGAGAAAACTCAATGATCAACTCACTTCTGGATAGGGAAGGGAAGGAAACCTTCAAACAGAAAAAAATAGAGTACTGTAGCTCAAAATTTTTATGACAATTTGTACAAGAAAAAAGAAATACCTTTGCAGCAACAAAAAAGATTCTTAGAAGGAACTCTCCCCTCGAAATTATCAGAGCAACAGTTAAAAAATTTATATAACCCCATAGCAATGAATGAAATTACTGAAGCATGGAAAAAACAGAAAAACAGTAAGATGCCTGGACCAGATGAATTATCAGCAGAATACTATAAAGCTTTCCAGGAAGAATTGATACGACATTTCAAAAAATTGTTGGACGCTATTGAGACAGGTGAAAAAATACCTGAATCATGGAAAGAAGCCCAGAATTGTTAGACGCTATTGAGACAGGTGAAAAAATCTGAATCATGGAAGGAAGCCCAGATATCTCTAATGCATAAAACAAGAACAGAAAGGAATCAAATCAAGAATTACAGACCAATTTCCCTCCTAAATGTGGATTATAAAGTTTTTGCCTCGATTTTGGCTCAGGTTGAAAAAGGTCTTAACTCTGATGATACACAAAGACCAAACGGAAATTGGCTACAAATATAAGAACAGTAATAGACATAATGGCAATTATTTTATGAATGGCCATGTGGATTGTTATAGAGCTTTTATTATTTTTCTGTGGTTGTACTCTTTCTATACTGATTAATAAATGGATTTTGCTTTGGATTTTCACAAAGTATCTGTCACTGTGAGTGGTCTTGAACTTGAAAGAAAAGACTAGAAACATTTTAGTAACTTTTAAAATAATCATAATTCCTGCAGTATTGTGACATTGATGGATTTCAGTATTTTGAATGCCTTGCGGTCCTTCTGAATATTTTTTCTTTCCATAATCTAAATCCAGATAATGTGTCATGCTATAAATACTATCACTGGGCAATCAATAGAAACAAAACTTGAGCTTCGAATTCGGGTTCTGGATATAAATGACAATGCACCACAATTTACACAAACCACCTTCGCAGGGTCAATAATAGAAAGCAGCATGGAGAGTAAGTATTTTACAACCATGTTTTAATCATTTCTGGTACATTTCTTTATGAAGATAAGTACTTTAAAAACATGTGTTAGCCATTTTTATGAAGATAAGTAGTCATGTAACTGTTTCATTCTTACTCATATTTCATAATATCCTAAATTTTCTCATGACAATTGTAGAACAGCCTAATGGGACATTTATTTTAGGTTACATTCCTATATATACTTGGTAGGATTTAGAGACTATCATGCTGTGTATTTCTATTTGTGTTAACAGCAGAATTAAGTTAGTGATTACCTCTTATTTTGGAGCCAGTGCTTACATTTGGCTGGATCATACAATAGAGATTTTAATCCAATGATTTTCTTGACATTGTTCAGCAGTATACAGCTGAACTGGATGTTGTCTGGCTCACAAAAGAAGCCACATACTCATAATCTGCAATGACATGAGGAAAGTGTGCCTTTACTGTGCTTTTATGCAGTTCTCCTTCATCTCAGTGGGATCCTACAGCTCGTTTACCCAGTTTGAATTTTTAATATACCACTTTTTTGTACTATTGTGATGTGAGTGAAAGGATGGTTGTTTTTGTAATATTTTTGTTTATTCTTTTGTTGGAAACTATCCAGAATAGTGGTATGCCAGTAGATATTGCAGTAATCTGAGGAGTTTCTGGAGTCCCAATTCCCCTCACCAATCAAGAGAGGTTGTGAATTTTTGTTTTGTTTTGTTGTTGTTGTTTAGTTTAAAAAGACACAATTGTCCTGGAAGTGGTGCACTTTTTTCTTTTCCCATTAATGTCAGCTGAAAGGGATTTTCAAAAAACTGTAAGATAAGCAGATGTGAGGGGACATGTGTCCATACCTTCTGCGCTGAGCAGTTTGAGCCAACAAGGCTTGGGAATTGATCATTCCTCTTCCGTGGAAGCTACCTCATCCCCGCTCAAGGATTTTTCTGTTCAAATTTATAGCAGATCCACATGCAGGCTTTAAGGGCCCAATCGTGTCTCTCAAGCCCCCACCCCTACAAACTTTAAATGTTTTTGCTCAAGAAAAAAAAATCTTTTTATGCCTACTACAGTGGTGCTGTACATACATACATACATACATACATACATACATACATACATACATACATACATACATACATACATACATACATACATACATACATACATACATACATACATACATACATACATACATACATACATAACGATAGCACAAGGACAACAGGTATGTCTTCCAGATCCAGAGGTAAGAATGGGCAGCCACCAGACCTGGAAAAACTACTCATTCATAGTCTATAACAGCAAAACAAGTAAGAGAAGCTCGTCTATTCTTAGATTATTTTTTTTAAGTTTGAAACCACAGCTTCTTCCTGTGTATACAATGAAAACAAAGGTTAAGCAATATCCTTGATATGGCCCCGAAGTATATGTCTGCAGATAACTTGCAAAAACCTGTGTTTTTTTCATGAGAAGATTACCATACCTTTATACTGGAAGTCAAGGTGTTCCACTGAAATGTACCTTTTGGAAAAGTGTATTATTTTCTGTTATTAGTAAGCAGAAGAAAATAGATAAGATTATAATCCCTTTGTGATTTTAATACATTGAGGTGCAGTTCTAAATGTGTCTGTCTGCCTGCTTACATGTTTGTGTGGCCTTCTTCTTCCCAGACACACTGGTGATGAAAATAACTGCTACAGATGCAGATGAGCCCAATACTCTTAATTCCAAAATTGCCTACAAGATTCTGAGTCAAACTCCAGGAGGTCCGTCAAAATTCATTCTGAAGTCAGAAAGTGGAGAACTGCACATTGCAAATGTCCTTGATAGAGAGGTAATTTTGTATTATTGATGGAATTTCAGTGAAAATGCCAGGAAAAGACATTCCAAATATTTCCTGTCTTTTTCAAGACATGTCATGAAACACTTTCCAAGAGAGAGAGAAAAGCCCTGTGTTGCAGAAGAGCATTTTGTTATTTGTTATTGGGATCTTTTAAATATTTATCTTTCTTCTCCCTCCCTCCTTCCATCCTTTCAATATTCATTTAGGAATCTGGAAAATACACTCTGGTTGTGCAAGCCACAGACAGGGATGGAGGTCCAGATGGCATATCATCTGAATCTTTATGTCAAGTTACTGTTGAAGATGTAAATGACAATTTTCCAACTCTTTCACAGAGCTCGGTAAGATTTACAGACTAAATCAGCAACCCAAAAGGTTACAATAATTTTCTGGAGATAATTAATGGGAATTAATTATCTAATGGGAAGATGGGGTCTATGTAGGATGGATTTTTGTGCCTTTAGAAGCTTGAGTACAAATGCAAGCTATCATTCATCCATGCAATTCTGAAATAGATTATTTGCCCATAATATTTCTATTTTCTTTTCCAAAACAAAAGATGAAAGTGTTTTACCTGTTATGTAGGGTTTATCAGAAATGCCTTAAGCACTATGGGGTGGTATATAAGCAGCACACTTTGCTTTTGCTTTGTTTTGTTTGGCTCGGCTTCTGTAACCTTAACTTTCCAGAGTTTTTTCAAGGTTTCATTGTGGATTTATGCTTTCAGGTGTATATGAAAGTACTTTAGTCCTTTTTTAACTGTGCAACTAAAGTACTGAATTATGAATTGTGTAATACTATTGCCGAATATTCTGTTCAGTATTTTTCACATGTTGAACTCCAAATGAGGATCTGAGAATATATTCATTCTATGCCTTGTAGTGCCACAACAGCTTCTAGAATTGGAACTCTGTGTATAAATACTGAACCACAGAACACTGGTCATCATTTTTGTAACCATATAAGCGGGGCTTGGCAAAAGAAGAGGAAAGGGATCAAAGCAATCTCATGGCTGCAGGATCACTTTGATCCCAGTCCCCCTCCTTTTGCTAAGCCTCGTCAGACTTAGCAAGTGGAGGGGAAGGCAGGGATCAAAGCAATCCTGCGGCACTTTGATCCCTGCTTAACCCTCCACTTGCTAAGCCTTAGCAAAAGGAAAGCAGGGATCAAAGAGCTGCTAAGGTTTAGCAAGTGGAGGGGGAAAGCAGCACTTTGATCCCTGATCTCCCCTCCAGTTGTTTTTGTTCCTCTCAACTTACTTCCATTTATAAGACGACCCCCAATTTTTAATCTAAAGATTTTAGACAAAAGTATCATCCTATACATGGAAAAATATGGTAACTTGTAAATAAATACATATAAAATACAGATCCATAAGAAATCTATAGAGGAAAAGACTATTTTTTAGTCTAACATGAGCTTGCCTGAGTCTCCATCTGCCAACTTAGTCTATTTTTGTTTTTTTAGTTGGCCAATCAGCAGACAAAATTGTGTTTTTTTGCATGTCTGATGTCTCAGGCATACAGCATTGAAATTTTAAAAGCGGGTGTTACCTATATCTCTCTGCTGAAAACACCACAATGAGCAAGAGGAAAATTGGGTGAGATGATTCACCATGGCAGCCGATGCTATTGCATTAGGCCTCATCCCCCTCTCAACATGAGCTACATGGGTTGTTACCTATATCTCTGCTGAAAACACCACAATAAGCAAGAGGAAAATTGGGTGAAATGATTCACCATGGCAGCCAATGCTATTGCATTAGGTATAATTTATTTTTTTCTGCAACATTTTTATAAGCACCTTTCCTCGGTGTGTTTCAACATACTGCTGTCTTCGAGTATATTCCATCTTTTTTTCAAATATTCAACTCTTATTCTTTTCAAAACATTTTCCTCAGCTTGATGTAGCTATTCTAGTAATCCCTGTGTTTTTGTGCAGTTCGTAGTAAGTAGCATGACACTCTTAGGACCACATTTCAGTAGTGACTGTTGTCTGTAATGGTTGGCAGGGTGAAACACACAGCACAAACAAGCAGAAGGAGGGGTGACAGACAGATTGAAGGGCGGGGAGTGAATATTCATTAATGTACGAACATTCACACAGAAGAAGGCTGACAAGTGCTCCCAGAGAGGGAGGGATATCAGGAGAAAAGCAGAAGTGAGGCCCAAGTTCTCCATCTCTGGTAGGGAAACAAGGAGAAGCAGACTGCCTAGGGGGAAGCCTGGGGTGGAATTGTGGCACATTTGTCATAATGGATCAGCCACTATTGCCCAATTCCATACAGCAATGGTATGCATACAAATGCCAAATAAATGAGTAGATTTTTTTCAGTTAATTGCAATAAATGGCTCGAATGTCAACAGTTATTTTCTTTCTTCTCCAGTATTCCATAACAATCGTAGAAAACTCCCTCAGTCAAGAAGTGCTGAGAATACAAGCTACTGATCTAGATTTAGAATTCACAGATAACTGGTTTGCAGATTTCTTCTTTATCGATGGAAATGAAAACAACAACTTTGAAATAATACTAGACCGAGAAACTAATGAGGGTATCGTGAGAGTGATAAAGGTACAGATTTCAAACTTTTTCAATACAACTGAAATTCTAAAACTTTCTAGCCTTTCTCTCATTCTATGCACATGAAATATCTTCATGCAAGATTCCCATCAAAGACCATGACATGATGAAGTGTTACAAATGCCAGCTCTGTACTCTTATGTCACATAATGGGACAGAACCACCTTATAACAAGAATGATATAATTGAATGCATGGATGTTACACTAATTCTGGAGCAATCAGTAAAGTTTCCAAGCAGTGTACTTTTAACACTAATGTTATACATACACCATACTGATTTCCAATTAACTGTTAGTATTGACATTTGAGGAGGAACAGAAGTTGTCATTCTCTGTGTGTAGAGTCACTATGGAACAGTCTGCTACACATGAATTCTCCCTATACAACAGGGAATTCTGAAAAATTACGAGTTCTTGGCTGCATGGAAAGGACCATCATACAGAGAAGACTCTTCTCTTTAGATTGTAGCTAGAAAATGAAAGAACAGGGGAAGATGTTTTTTCTCTCTCACACTCACTCATCAAAAGGTAAAGGTTCCCCTTGACAATTTTTGTCCAGTCGTGTCCAGTCGTCACTCACTCATACATTTGGATAAACTCTTTTCTGAATGGCTGAATAGAGCTTGTGTGAGTGTACATATGACAGGTTTTCTTTTTAAGCTCCACAAAAAGATCTTTTTATTCACACAGACCTTTTAAACAATTTGCACTTTTAAAACACAAAAGCAAATATATCTGTTCTACTGGTAATGAATTGTTGCTAATAAGCTCTACAGTATTTTGCCTCCGCTAACAATAGGAAGGCTAAGGCTGCATTTCAATGCTTTTATTATATGTTATATGTGTGTATTTTAATGCCATAAATTCTTATTCACCCATATGCATGTGCATTTCATTTAGCAACTGTCTATGGATGTGCACAATACCTTCTATGTGTTTTAAAGTTTTGAAAATTGGATCTTCCTTCCTTCCTTTGTTTATTTGTTCATTTGTTTATTTATTTATAGGAACTTGATTATGAACAAGCATCAAGCCTGACTCTGAGCATTGGTGTTCGAAATATAGCTCCTTTCCATTCATCTGTGGCTTCTCAATACCAAGTTCGTGGCACCCCGCTTATAGTACAAGTTACCAATATAGTTGAAGGGCCAAGGTTTAATCCATCATCATTGACTATTACTGTATCTGAAGGCTTAACAAGTGAAGATATACTTACTTACTCAGCTGGAACATACCAAGCCATTGATCTGGATACTGGAAAAATTGCCACAAATGTTCGGTAAGAGCAGTCTTAGAAAGAAAGCAGGGATCAAAGAGCTGCTAAGGTTTAGCAAGTGGAGGGGGAAAGCAGCACTTTGATCCCTGATCTCCCCTCCAGTTGTTTTTGTTTCTCTCAACTTACTTCAGCTTATAAGACGACCCCCAATTTTTAATCTAAAGATTTTAGACAAAAGTATCATCCTATACATGGAAAAATATGGTAACTTGTAAATAAATACATATAAAATACGGATCCATAAGAAATCTATAGAGGAAAAGACTATTTTTGTCTAACATGAGCTTGCCTGAGTCTCCATCTGCCAACTTAGTCTATTTTTGTTTTTGGGGGGGGTTTTTTGGCCAATTGGCAGACAAAATTGTGTTTTTTTTGCATGTCTGATATCTCAGGCATACAGCATTGAAATTTTAAAAGGGGTTGTTACCTATATCTCTGCTGAAAACACCACAATAAGCAAGAGGAAAATTGGGTGAAATGATTCACCATGGCAGCCAATGCTATTGCATTAGGTATAATTTATTTTTTTCTGCAACATTTTTATAAGCACCTTTCCTCGGTGTGTTTCAACATACTGCTGTCTTCGAGTATATTCCATCTTTTTTTCAAATATTCAACTCTTATTCTTTTCAAAACATTTTCCTCAGCTTGATGTAGCTATTCTAGTAATCCCTGTGTTTTTGTGCAGTTCGTAGTAAGTAGCATGACACTCTTAGGACCACATTTCAGTAGTGACTGTTGTCTGTAATGGTTGGCAGGGTGAAACACACAGCACAAACAAGCAGAAGGAGGGGTGACAGACAGATTGAAGGGCGGGGAGTGAATATTCATTAATGTACGAACATTCACACAGAAGAAGGCTGACAAGTGCTCCCAGAGAGGGAGGGATATCAGGAGAAAAGCAGAAGTGAGGCCCAAGTTCTCCATCTCTGGTAGGGAAACAAGGAGAAGCAGACTGCCTAGGGGGAAGCCTGGGGTGGAATTGTGGCACATTTGTCATAATGGATCAGCCACTATTGCCCAATTCCATACAGCAATGGTATGCATACAAATGCCAAATAAATGAGTAGATTTTTTTCAGTTAATTGCAATAAATGGCTCGAATGTCAACAGTTATTTTCTTTCTTCTCCAGTATTCCATAACAATCGTAGAAAACTCCCTCAGTCAAGAAGTGCTGAGAATACAAGCTACTGATCTAGATTTAGAATTCACAGATAACTGGTTTGCAGATTTCTTCTTTATCGATGGAAATGAAAACAACAACTTTGAAATAATACTAGACCGAGAAACTAATGAGGGTATCGTGAGAGTGATAAAGGTACAGATTTCAAACTTTTTCAATACAACTGAAATTCTAAAACTTTCTAGCCTTTCTCTCATTCTATGCACATGAAATATCTTCATGCAAGATTCCCATCAAAGACCATGACATGATGAAGTGTTACAAATGCCAGCTCTGTACTCTTATGTCACATAATGGGACAGAACCACCTTATAACAAGAATGATATAATTGAATGCATGGATGTTACACTAATTCTGGAGCAATCAGTAAAGTTTCCAAGCAGTGTACTTTTAACACTAATGTTATACATACACCATACTGATTTCCAATTAACTGTTAGTATTGACATTTGAGGAGGAACAGAAGTTGTCATTCTCTGTGTGTAGAGTCACTATGGAACAGTCTGCTACACATGAATTCTCCCTATACAACAGGGAATTCTGAAAAATTAGAGTTCTTGGCTGCATGGAAAGGACCATCATACAGAGAAGACTCTTCTCTTTAGATTGTAGCTAGAAAATGAAAGAACAGGGGAAGATGTTTTTTCTCTCTCACACTCACTCATCAAAAGGTAAAGGTTCCCCTTGACAATTTTTGTCCAGTCGTGTCCAGTCGTCACTCACTCATACATTTGGATAAACTCTTTTCTGAATGGCTGAATAGAGCTTGTGTGAGTGTATATATGACAGGTTTTCTTTTTAAGCTCCACAAAAAGATCTTTTTATTCACACAGACCTTTTAAACAATTTGCACTTTTAAAACACAAAAGCAAATATATCTGTTCTACTGGTAATGAATTGTTGCTAATAAGCTCTACAGTATTTTGCCTCCGCTAACAATAGGAAGGCTAAGGCTGCATTTCAATGCTTTTATTATATGTTAAACTTTGTGTGTATTTTAATGCCATAAATTCTTATTCACCCATATGCATGTGCATTTCATTTAGCAACTGTCTATGGATGTGCACAATACCTTCTATGTGTTTTAAAGTTTTGAAAATTGGATCTTCCTTCCTTCCTTTGTTTATTTGTTCATTTGTTTATTTATTTATAGGAACTTGATTATGAACAAGCATCAAGCCTGACTCTGAGCATTGGTGTTCGAAATATAGCTCCTTTCCATTCATCTGTGGCTTCTCAATACCAAGTTCGTGGCACCCCGCTTATAGTACAAGTTACCAATATAGTTGAAGGGCCAAGGTTTAATCCATCATCATTGACTATTACTGTATCTGAAGGCTTAACAAGTGAAGATATACTTACTTACTCAGCTGGAACATACCAAGCCATTGATCTGGATACTGGAAAAATTGCCACAAATGTTCGGTAAGAGCAGTCTTAGAGGATCTAATGATCAGTATGAAAATGTTATGGCTACGGCCCATGCAAACTAGCTCTAAGTTAGCCAAACACTTTTGAGACTTGTTTACAGTTCAGAAAGTGACCCACAAGCCAGATTTTGCTCTTGTGTGCATTTTTTAAAATTTTTGTTCTCCAAAGCTTTAATATGGCTGCTTATTAAAACAGTGTATTCATAATTTTCAGTTTTACAATACCTTTCACAACCTCACCAGATTATCAGGCTGTGACACAACAGATCTACAATTAGTACAGTATTTGTCTAAGAAATCTACATGTCTTTGAGGCTGCTGTGGCAAGAATATATTTGCCTCCTGAATTTAGTCACTACAGGCATTTGTTCCACTCTAAAACATCGGTCAACATAGTTCAGAGTGAAATGTGGGATTCGGACTGTGAGCCATTGTGGGGACAACTATTGAATAGCTTCTGTATTGACAAGTGACACAAACAAGTAGGGTTGCCAGGCTAACAGAATCCCTTTTCCTGAAATTCAGGGCCAGACCCTGATGTCACAGAAGCAAGAGTTGCATATCAAGGCCAACCAATTGTGCAATATTTTTCAGAGCAGGCAGTAAAACCTGTCCAACAGCTGCAGCAGTAACCTTCACCATTCCCAATAGTGTTCATATCCCGACAGCACACCAGACACATAGGAATCTTTTCCAGGCTGTATGTTGCTGCTAGGACTTGTGAGGACCTCACTGCTCACTTCTTGGGGAGCATTTCCAGTCTATATCTATGGAACACTCACAAGTTAAGATGTGGTGCTCCATTGCTTGCTTCCCTACCTGGACACTCAAGGAAGCATAACAGTTCCCTAAGATTTCAGCCAGAATGGAAATCTGGCAACCCCAGAAACAAATCTTATGGCCTTGTGAAGGGTTTTCTATTTCTTAGAAACCATGAGACAAAAGAACATCCATCTCATCTTTTCATCATAAGAATGCAGCTATCATCATCAATTCTGTCTATTCCTTCAGGAACAATGATCTGCAATTTTGTAACTCACTGAAGCTTTAAAAAGAAATTTGTATTTAGATATCTTCAAGCTGTAGTACACATTTCTCTTGAAAAAGAAAATCAAAAGGAAGTAAGGATGTTCCCCAGAGCAAGGCTTACAGCTCTGAGTACCAAGTATTCAGATAGCAACAAATAGTATTAGAAGAATTTTACATACACTGCCTCTGCGCGTGTCGAATTCTTCAAATTCTACTTATTGCTGTATGGATATTTGCTGCCAGGTAGCTGCCACCAGGATCAGGATCACCAATGGCAATCCAGCAGTGATTTTTTTATTATTATTAAAATTTCCACCCCCACCCTTTCCTGATCCCTAGGGAGCCTTGGAAGCTTAAATAGGGTGATAGGATGCTTTAAATTAATTTAAATGAATTATTTCTGGTGCCCCAATCTGGTTTAAGTCTGTAGAATTACACCAACAGGCTTTTATCCAATATGGAATAAGCTAATGCTTTGGGGAATGGGGCGACCAAACTTTCTTCCCTGATGTGTTATGTTTAAACGATTTCCTCCCCGCCCCCAAGGGGAAGTATCAGAAATGGGAAAGCCTTTTTCTACATAGAGTCTCTTTGTTCTCACTTAGCAATATCTAGCAACAATCTTGTCACTCCTGTATTTATAGCGCAATACTGAAACACAAAAACTGTTTGGAACCTCTCTTCTCAGATTTAAATGACAAAGCATATGAATTGTGACTTCACTAGCAAAGGTCCGAGGCAGGTAGGCATTTTAGCATTTGTAACCCCTTCTAAACATTTATCGCAATCAAAACTAGGTATCAGATGGGACGCGATCCAGACGCCTTGTTTCGAATAAACCCCGTTTCTGGAGATATCACATTTAGCAAAGTGATTGATCGGGAGTCAATCCATGTAGTGAATGGCGTATACAAAGCAGAGGTACTAGCCATCTGTAAAGGTAAGATTACATGTATTTTCTTCTTCTTGACATTCCAAAAGCCGTTTGCAATTGTGACAGTTGCCCTACGTCACTCCCATCACCCACAGTCTGGTTCTCATTTGCATGAGCCTATGAGAGGAGTGGAGGGGCGGAGTCAGCAGAATATAAGAAGGTGGCAGGAGAAAAGAGAATAAGCAGAGGTAGAGAATGAAGCAGAGGAAGAAGCAGAGAGATAGTCAGTGAGATCGTGAGAAGAAATAATAATAAAGATAAGCTGGTCAAGTTAAATAAATAGAGCAGGTGGTGAAGGTGGCAAGATATATGATATTTAAATGATTAAGTGATTGTATGCATTGAATAAAGAACATCTGTGATTCTGATTAAAGTTAAGACCTTTCAAGAAATCAGTTCTGTTGGCAGCAATCTGACAAGTGTCTGAATAAAGTTCTTAATACAGTACAGTGTGGATAAAGGAAATCCACTGGTGGCAGTGAAAGAAAAAAAGGGGCAAATGTCCCAATTGTCATCTGCTGGTGAGAAGACATAGTGTGAGCTCTTTGTTTGGAGAAAACAAGCAGGGGTTACGTGGAAAACATCACAGCAATTAACATCTTCTATATGTCATGAATGCTGGTGCTCAGAAATATTGCCCAACTCTGCCAATAGACATATTGACTCTAGTTCTAATCTATGGTAAATTACTTTGCCAAATTGCTAATGGCAGAGCGGCCTGGGTGTAATGGAAACAGATAAAGAAATACATTCCATTAAAAAAAACTACAGCAAAGGATTTGGCTGGATTTTTAAAAATGGTATGTGAGGCTGGTTTCCCATTTGTTTGGATTTAGAGATGGGCATGATCTGTGCTTCAGTGTAGTTTGATACAGTCTGGCAGATTGGGCCCACAGAGGTTGCTCGGGTGTCCTGAATTCCCCGTCCCACCTCCCGCAAGCATCTACTCGGAGACAGCACTCCAGGCTTCCTTGTTCCTCCCCCTCCTTTGAGTGAGTGCTCACAGGAGGAAGTGGGGTGGGGGAGCCAGGGCACCCATGCCACTGCTTTTGGCCTGATCCACCAAACTGTGCCAAAGCACCAAATTGGCAGATCGTTCCCAACTCTATTTGGATTAACTAAAGGTCTGTTCAGACATGGGAATTTAGAATGGTATGGTTTGCACTTAGAAGGTTCTCACCTTCACTGTGATCTATTTTATCTCTCGCTTGAGTGATCCTTTTGTTTATACCAGAGATGTTTACCCTTCTGTGAAAACGGCCCACACAAGTCTTTCAATCACTGGTTTATACCTGTGTGAGTGTATCTAGTTTTTAATTTATTTTTAATTCATTTTTTAAACTGCACACATTAACAAAATACAGCATCGAAATTACATTGTGTCCACATAAATTACATGAAAAATTAAAAAATTAAAAGTAAGTATACCTGGTTTACTAATTAGAAAGGAGGGAACAACAGTCGGGAAGCTCACAGCATTAGTACTGGTGCAATGGGAAAACCGGGGTTGAGGAGACGGTTAGGGAGACAGAAGGGAGGTAAACTCCGCCTACTTTTTCCTGCCTTTTTCCTCAGCTGGAGCTCTGCTGGGGCTGTGCTGCCTTGTGTGGGTGGAGTTTATGGAGTCAACATAGTCTCCTTCCCCATTTTTTCTTGAAGCTCTCATTCAGCCAGCTCCAGTGGCTTTCTTTTGTTTTTTGTTTTTGTGGGGTTTTTGTTAAATAAAGTAAGTGGCATATTGAAGGAGCAATGCATCCATTTAGTATAGTATTAGAACTGCACTGTGTCAGTCAGAGAAATATCAAATTAAAAGACAAAAATAGAGAAGTGGGGTTCTCCATCTTTCCTTTTAATGCCACAACCCACCTATTATGTCACAGGGTTATCATCTTTGATAACACTGCTCACAGTTCCATTTGGATGCAAACTAACCATCTGCATAGGCTGCACAGTGAGTTCATTAAGATTGCACTGGATCATGCCAAAAATAATACATGCTTTAGCACTGTGCCAGAAAGTTGTCTGACAGATCTTAAAAGGGAAGGATGATTGATTTAAGTAGAAACACATGTGGACACCATTATTTGGTTTGAACCAAGGCATACCAACAGCAATCCAAATACAGATCTATATGCCAGTCTAGACAGGCCCTAAGTCTTACCTCACCCTGCACAATTGTCTGCTGACTCAGCTTTTAAAGACTAGCTGGGAGTACAAAATACAAACTGCCCAGTTCATCATGGAATTATACTCATTAAGGTGCTCCATCGGTGCAAATGAATACAGCCATTGGTGCTCTGTGGTGCTTTGAGTTAAATGTAGTGCTTGGCTATGCAGGGCACTTTTCTAATCAGCTGTTCATGTTGTTTTTGGTGTCTTTACACCAGGTTTGGATGACCTCTGTGGGGCTGAGGACCCTTTTTTCAGCTTTAGCAGGAGGCCCGTGGCCATACCCCCAAATGGGAGATGCTTAAAGGGAGGGCCAATGCCAAAGAGGCTAATTTCCTTGCTCTATTTACATTTGCAGTTACAGTTACAGTTACTTACAGTTACAGTTATAGTTATAGGATGCTACTATGGGTTTTGCTAACTGAAAATAGATTTACCTTTTAAGGTTTTTTTTAACTGAACAATGCCTGTAGTGGCCAAACAATACATTTTTAAAAGGATAAATTGAAGAGATATGAGGGCAAATTTTATCCAACATTTCCAAAAGGGCACACAGGGATTTTCTGAGGGAGGGGGGATTAAACACTTGGGGAAAATGCTCTTGGGGGTCATGTCCACCACATGGGCCACATGTTTCCTATCCTTGTTTTAAACCATACTTCAGAGTAGGGTGCACATAAAGTAATGGAATGTGATTGTTATTGTTCTGCCCTTCAACATTTAAACAGTTTTGAAACATGTCACAGCCACTAAAACCAAGACCTTACTCCCCTTTTTTCCTTGCCATTTTTGTGGTTTGCACACATGATACTTTTGGTAAATGTATCATGGTACATTATTTATTTGCCAACTATAGTAGTGTTCCTCTACTATATATTTTTTCTGACTGGTCAAATTCATCTCCCCAGCCCACCCCAAATTAATATGTGTTTGTTTTATTACAGATAGTCCTTACACAACCGCTACTGGTACAATTGAGCTTACTATACAAGATGTTAATGATAACTGCCCGTTTGTGACAAATGAAATCAGAAGAGTATGTATGGATAACCCAACGGTAGTGATCACAGCTAAAGATCTAGATGATCATCCATATGGACCGCCTTTTAAGTTTACTATAGTGGCTCAATCTGATAGAGGTTCATGGAATATCAGAATGGTGAATGGTGAGTATAGTTACATGTAAGAATTGCCATCCCATACTGTTCAATCGACCCACCTTAATATGTGTTTCATCTTTCAATTCACTCTAGTCCCAAACTTGGCACCAATCATCTTTTTGTTCAGAGAGTTTAGTACATTTCTTTCACATAAATGAATGGAGGCATCCCACTGAAGCGCATAAGAATCTGTGGATCTGGACAGTGTGGCAGATATATTAAAAACTCTCTGAACAGGAGTGTTTCCTTTTCCTCTCACTCTTAATTCCTTTCTTTCTTTAGTCACTCTTTCTAGTTGCTGAACTACAAGTCCACAAAAGATTCCAAAGCTGAGTTATTTTTAGTCAGTCTCTACCCTACAGATTTCTATCCAGTAAAATTGTAGGGTCTAAGGACTTAGGGGTAAAGGCTCAAATGAATTGCTCAACATGTATATTTGCCCGTTTTCATACAATATAACTTTCATCTAGCATGCCAAATCATTTAACTTAACTCTCCTCACATTATGCAATGTTCTCATCAGACCTGGTTCAAGATTCTTTGCTGCCTGAAGCTAATAACAAGATGGCACCCCTTCCTGCAGAAAACCAAGCCAGATTTGAGGTGACTCAGACTGCATGGACAATTTAGCTGATCAGATTGAGATATTTGGCACATCATCTCCATTTCCCCAGTTGGTTCAGTTTTAGGCTGTAACATCAGAGGAGGCTTCAGGACAGTGATACACTGTGGACCTACCAACTCACTGCTGAACCCAATCCCATCATAGCTACTGAAATCTGCCAACAGGTCACTGTGGACTGGGCCGTAAATATCGTAAATGCTTCACTGAGGCAGGAGTGCTTCCATCTCTCTGTGAAGGAAACCATAATATGGCCCATTATAAAAAGGGTGAATTTAGCAACAGGCCCATTGCTAAAATCCCCTTTATGACAAAATTGATCAAGTAGGTGGTGGCAGAACAGCTCCAGATGTACCTAGAGTAGGAGGACTGTCTTGACCCATTACAGCCTTGGTTCAGGCCATGCCATGGAACCAAGACAGCCTTGGTTGCACTGCATGATGATTTCTCAAGGGAGGCTAATGGGGTAGGCATGAGCCTGTTGGTGTTCCTTGGTCTCTCAGCAGCTTTAAGTACCATCAACCATGATATCTCCCTAGACAGACTGTTGTGGTAGGCTTCAGAGGTCTGGCATTAAGCTGGGTCTGATCCTTCCTCAAGGGTTGAGTCCAGAAAGTACAACTTGGGGAGGAATTGTATATACAGTTATAATGTATATACTTATATACAGTTCCATAGCACTCAAAGCACTCTCTGGGTAGTTCACAATTTAATTATGCATACTATACATTGTCCCCCTCAGCAAGGTGGATGGTCAATTTACTGACCTCAGAAGGATGGCAGACTGAGTGAACCTCAAGCCAGCTACCTGGGATTGAACCTAGGTCATGAGCAAAGTTTTGGCTGCAGTACTGCAATTTAACCATTGTGCCATGAGGGTAGTCATGTAGTACAGTAGTCAGTCTTTAAGATCACCAGTATATGCACTAACATCTTTAGACACACACACACACACACACACACACACACACACCACACACACACATACACACACACACACACATATCCAGTTAGAGGTGCAGCTGATCAGATTCAATTGGTTGAAGGATAAGCTAGTCATGGCTGCAACCTTTGAAAGGGCCAGTTCCAGGAATATGCCCTGATTATGCACCCGCTCCCCAAGAGGGAGAGCTACATTATCCAATTTAGAAACATAGTCTCCTAATCTGTCTGGAGACACACACACCCCAAAAGGAGGATCTTCCTCTTATCTGGGTTCAGTTTCAACCTATTAGCTTTAGTCCATTCCAGAACTGAGGGCAGGCAGCGCTCAACTAGCTGGACAGCATCTACTACAGAAGATGTAAAGGAGAGGTAGTGTTGTGTGTCGTAATCTCACTGATGGCAATGCATTCCAAATCTTTGGATGACCTCTCCCAGCAGCCTAACATAGATGTTAAAAAGCATTGGGAGATTGACAGCCCCCGAAGTTCCCCATACTTCATAAGTCATAATGTTTAGATCTCTGTGAAGAAAGAATACCACAGCTCCATGCTTTTCCTATTTTCTCTCTGAGCTTGCAGTTTGTAGACCTGTTGCAGTTCTTCTAAGAGACTTGGTTTATAGACATCGTTAGATTTAAGTGTCTGAATATACATATCAATATCTTTCATTACTGTACACTGTCCATTTTCAAAATGTATAGAAAAACCATCCAAAACTGATGCACTTAATATGTTGCTTTGTCATTCAGGAACAAACAATACATCACTTCAGTATTCTCCTTTATTTCATCAGGCAGTTCACCATGTAAAATATCCATCTCTTTTCTTTCAATTTTCATGGAATCACCCTAGCAACTTGAATATTTCCACTGGATCTTTCTTATAAAGAAATATTTCTGATGTGTACAATGACTGGTACATCTGGAGTCAATGATCCCATTATTTGATTTCTGTTCAAAACGATGAGCCATGCATGCCTTCTGTTTAAAAACTTTTTGAGCCTTAGCAGAGATGTAGAACTCTCAAAGGCTGGGAGGAATGATTGGTTAGTGCTGGATAGACAATCATTCCAACCCGGAAATGTTCCTCCCAGTCATACAAACCACAGACAGCATGTGAGCTTGCAAATAAATGCCAATAATAAGATGCTAACCTTATTTAACATCACAAACTTTAGAGCTGATACAACTGGGGTGGAGCACCTGGCTGCATAGCTGGATCTGAGAGTTTGAATCTCACAGTGTCCCATGGTGAAAGAGCATGTATGGTTGATAGGGTTATGTATCCTGCCACCTTTGTGACCCTGGCAAGTTACACACTCCTAGAGCAACACCAGAAGGAAGAATGGGTAAATCATTTCTAAGTATCTTAAATCTAGGAAACCCTAGAAGAGTCACCATAAATTTGAATCAACTTGATGGCATGTAATACATATGAACTTTCAAGAGGATTGAAATGGAAATTCATTTTTAAAAATTTCTGTTTCTTTCTTTTCCCCCAACAGATACCTCTGCAGCACTGTTCTCCAACAATATAGATTTTGTCATTCATGAGGTCCAAGTTAAAGTGTTTGACAACAGTGGCATGAGCTGTGAAAGGCCACTGGTAGTTCCTTTGCAAGCTTGTCATTGTGATCGCAATGGAATGTGTGTCAATCCTGCTACTAAAAGAGTCAGAATTACTATAGTCGGAGGTGGAGCTGTAGGAGGAGGAGGAGCTGGAGGTGGTGGGGCTGGAGGTGGTGGGGCTGGAGGTGGTGCTGCTGGAGGTGGTGGTGCTGGAGGAGGTGGTGCAGGAGGTGGTGGCGCTGGAGGTGGTGGCGCTGGAGGTGGTGGCGCTGGAGGTGGAGGTTTGGGTACAGGTGGAGGAGGAGGATTTGGTGGAGGAGGACTTGGTGGAGGAGGGCTTGGTGGAGGAGGACTTGGTGGAGGAGGACTTGGTACAGGAGGAGGTGGCACAGGAGAATATGGAGATGGTGAAGGAGGAGGTATAGGAATAGGAGGTGGAGGGACAGGTGGTGGTTGGGGAGGTGGTGGTGAAATTGATGATGGTCGTGGTACTAGCTATCTTCCTGCACCAAGAGAGCGTGGATCAACTGCACTTAGCGGTGCTGCCATTTTTCTGATATTTCTCGGAGGATTAATATTTGTGCGTAAGTATACAAAGCTTTTGCTTTAAATCAGCTTGCTTTTCAATAATAAAAAGCTATCTGCTCTCCTTTGTTCAAACATTTGCTAAAACATTGCTGCTTTTGTAGAAGTTGCCTTACATATCCATTATGTAAGTCTGGAGATGAGGGAGTAGAGAAGATAGGAGTTTAAAGACTAGGAGCCCCATTAATTATTTGTTCATGTGTGTTTGCCTGCACTCAACTACAATCCAATGGTTGGGTGGGACTGAAGGCAACTACTTTAACAGTGATAAATATGCATGTACCCTGGAGCTCAATACTAGTAGGATCTCCCACTCACTTACCCTGGAATAACATAATGCCATTTAATTGGAGCTGGGAAATGTTACTGATTGACATTTCACTGGCCATGTTGGCTTAAAGGATATTGGTTTCTATAAACTAAAAAGTAAATATTCTGTGATTTGCGTGTGTTATCCTTTGTCTCAGCCCAGCGTTTCTTCATGCAACCAAATAGAAAGGTATAGATGGAGGTATATAATGAGGTATTCTTTGCAACATAAAAGTGACAAGAAATAAATGGGCATGATTCACTAAACATAAAAGCATTGACAGTATTCTAGTTGATTTTCACAAAGACTCTAAATTTGCTCATCCCTGAAATATAAGATGCTGCATGTTTTCATTCATATTTGGAGACAAAACACTTGATTTTTAAAAGAGTGTTTATTTGTTTATTTCATTGAAAACAACATTGTTTTATTCATTTTATATGTTTGTTTTCTCAGTGGTTCCAATCCTAATGTCACAAAGTGACTGTTGTGGCTACTGTAGATCAGGCCCTTCTGGTGGAGTTGGCGCTGGATTTGAGCCTGTGCCTGAATACACAGAAGGAGCTATTCATTCCTGGGGAATTGAAGGAGCACAGCCTGAAGACCGGGTTGGTTCATGACTTTATTAGATATATTTACTATACGTCCTTCCTCTCTTCCAGTGAGCTCACTCCACTCTCCTCACAAGACTAGTCTCTTTCGGCACAGCATCACAAGCCTATCCTTCTTGTTAAGCTTGTGGTCATTTTTTAAACAGTAAGGATCTGTATTTTTATCTCTGTGGCTCTTATGAAAATGTGTTTTTTAAAAAAAACATTGATTTTTTTCAGGATGTTTCAAATATTTGTGCACCTGCAACAACTGCAATTGGGGGTGACTATGGTGATTCTTCAGGTACGTAAAGGCTCCTCAGGTACTTCCCATTAGCATCTCAGGAATGTTTGGTGGGGACACAAGAGAGGGCCTCCTTTGTCACTGTTCCCAGGTTGTGAAATGTTCTCCCTTGGGAAGATAAGTTGCCCCTCACCCTTTCATCCTTCTGTTGACAGTTAAAGACCTATCTCTGCAGGCAGGGTTTTAATGACTATAATAGTTTCTGGATGCTGGTCTTTCTGTTTCTTTTTAAAAAATTTAATGCTTTTTAATTAATTAATGGATTTTTAATTACTACTGCATGTTTACTTGCTTTTAACCTCTAGTTTATTGTGCTCTTAGTGTCACTTGTTTTAACATTGTGAGCCACTTTTGATCCCCTGATTTGTAGAAAGGCTGCCTACAAATGATAGAAATAAATAAATTAAATAACCCTAAAATGCCAAAATGCAGAGCAGACCACTGTTAGTAATATGGTAGTTCTAACTTTTGTCCAATAGAACTGCCACTTTAAAGAAACATTTCTGACATTTGTGCAATAACTTGGTACCAATCATATAGGTACTACATCGTAAAATCCGTGTTCTTTTTAAAAATTATATGCGTTCTTCTATCTTTGATCTTTCTAACAATTTAACAGGAGATTTGCAGTGTAGGTACTTTAAATCAGACAGGACAAAATCCTTGATTAAAATCTGTTGATAGAGGTTTTGTTAATGGAACTGAAATGCATAATGCCAATGGCTGATTAAACCAATAAGCAGCTACGTATATGCTACCCATTTTAATCCAACCAACTTGGATTTAAATACAGCCACTCCCCACAGAGATGTGCTGCTTAGCCCAGTTTGAGTATTCTAATTTTGCATGTGGATCAAATCACGTGAAGGATAGCAGAGATGCAAATGACAAGGTGGGGAAAACAGCAGAATGAAAAGCCCACTAATTCCACTACTGATGCCATCCCCATTGCCTCCCATACACTGTAAATTTCATTCATAGACAAGATCAGATCTCTAAATTTTTGAGGTCCACTACCTGAGTAGAGCAGATTTCCCACTCATCCTCCAAGTTGTGTAGACTTACGGAGATGGTGTGACAGAGACTGTGCCCACCACCACCACTCTTCCTCTCATACTTCTAATGAAGAGGGTTTACGGTACCCAAATAGAAATGTGGTGGATTTCCCTTTGCACCTAATTGTATCTAATATGCACCCAAAAGAGCACAATTATATGGAAACAACATGCCTGTTGGAAAGCTTAGACTGTTGCACTAAGAGCTTGCCCGCTTTAATCAGACCTAAGTTTGCTAAAATGCAATTTAAAAATGGTAAACTGGCTAGGATTTTTGTGGCTATGCAGATCATTATTGTTCCTTTCAAAGTATCACATAATGTTATTTTTTTTAACGCAGATATCTACCATACTAAATTTGGAGGAGGAGGAGGAGGAGTGGTGAGCAGAGAAGAAACCACGGGACTTGGTGCAGTTAAAGGCTATGGAACAACAGGAACTATAGGTTACGATACAGCTACAGGCTATGGAACAACAGGAAGAACAAAGGAGACATATGGAGGGACAATAAAAGAATACAGAGAAAGTGGAGTGAATATGGCTTTCTTAGACAGTTATTTTTCTGAGGTAACCCACATGTTTTCATTTTTTTAATTAAACTTTTTCTGAATGCATTCTTTTTGAGCAGGAATATTGGTAAATGTATATCTGTGAAGGTTCTCAGTCATCGAGAGAAGTTATCTGGAAGTTAAGTCATGGCAACTGGACTTCTTTCATATTAGGTTGAAACATTTCACTACTCTTCCAGGTAGCTTATTCAATATGAGGAGAGCTGGTAGGAGACCCCTGATATATCAAAAGAGGATACTCATTTGATGACCAAGATGTACTCATTTTGGATGGAAAAGATAGGTGGTTTGAGTGAGGTGTCAGGGAGGCCATACATGTGCATATAGAAAATCCCTCACTCAACAGGGATGGAGGCCTTAGATACAATCCCATTTATCATGCTGCCCTGTCATCCATCCCCCAAAAGACAATGACAATGGGTGGAAAAGGACTGCAGAAGTGGAATATTCACTCACCTCCAGTCCTTTGTCTATCTAACAAGGTCACATTATAGAGTCTACAATGGCTGTATGTGGTCTGTGGGAGGCACTTTGCCAACCCATGATGCAGAGTCCGTCTTTCTGAGGGCAGGGAAATGGCAATGGCCAGTTAGCTAGCTAGTGGCTACAACTATGTGTGCTGATTATGGAAAAAAATATGCCACCATTATGGTAGCAAATTTGATGACGGCAGCAGTGAAGAGGACAGATTCCAGAGCTAGGATTCGAGCTAGGGTTAATCTCTCTGCCATCTTATATCACCAATGTAGAATCTAAACTATGATTCATATTAGGTATCTGAAACCTTTGGGAAGTGGAAGGGGATTCTAGATGGGAATCCCATTTCCCTCCAGATCCCTAAAATGCTATGCTTCCATACTATGGAGCTATAGGGTAAGGCCACACTCCTGTGAGACTGTAGAAAAGTGAACAAATGTCATGATTCACATTAGGTACTGTATCTGAAACCTTGGATGAGTGGTAGGGGATTCTAGATGGGAATCCTATATCCCTCCAGATCCCTAAAATGCTATGTTTCCATACTATGGAGCTATAGGATAAGGCCACACTTCTGTGAGACTGTAGAAAAGTGAACAAATGTTATAGCATGCAGTCCAGGACACAGGAGTCATCTTTCTGGAGAGTTAGCAGAATTTTGTTCTTCTTGTTTTAAAACTTAAATTGCCTTTGCACAAAAGTGTATGGGGCTCTGTATCTGACAAAATTCAAAATGGTAGGCATTTCTGAAGGCACAAAACTCTGGGGAAAAAGCAACAATGTCCTTTTTGCTCAGAACAAAGGTCATTGGCTGCTGCATCGACTTTTGCCTCTGATATTCAACACATTCTGCCTGCTTCTGAGTAGAAATCTATTGCATCTCTAACAGTCTTGATTTTCCTCTCAGAGTTATCATAAGAAAATGAGGACTCTAATTGTTTTGTCCTTTCTCCATTTTTAGAAAGCATTTGCTTATGCCGATGAAGATGAAGGCAGACCTGCAAATGATTGCCTCCTGATATATGATCATGAGGGGATAGGCACGCCCGTTGGTTCTGTTGGCTGTTGCAGTTTTATTGGGGATGATTTAGATGACACTTACCTGGATACACTGGGACCTAAGTTTAAGACCTTGGCAGAAATCTGCCTGGGTGTAGAAATTGAGCCATTTCCAGATCCAAATGCAGTTTGGCCCAATCCTGAAGTTGACCTGAACCTGCCGCCACCTGGAACAACCATTGTTGTCAACACATCTTCAACTTTACCTATGCCTCCCCCAACTAGCACAAGGGTTATTACTGAAAATACCTATGCAACTACTTCGTCTGTACAGCCTCCCAGGCCTGTGCCTGAACCTGTGCTCCATGGTAATGTTGTGGTAACCGAGACATACACATCTGGGTCACCATTGAAACCTCCCACAATTAATGTTGATCCTTTAGTTGGATCAAATGTTGTGGTAACCGAAAGGGTGCTTGCTCCTGCCCCAGTTACCGATTTACATGGCATGATAGATATTCCTGAGCTACCAGATGGGGCAAATGTGGTGGTCACAGAAAGGGTCATCGCTCCAAATTCAAGGATACCTTCTTCCATGAGCATTCCTAATCTGGCCGAGGGGTCAAATGTTGTGGTGACAGAAAGAGTGATCCGACCTGCCACAAGTGTACAAGGCAGTTTAAGCATGCCTCCTGAATTATCAGGTTCACATAATGTGGTTGTTACAGAGAGAGTGGTATCTGGGGCAGGAGTGACAGGTGGTGTTGGCAACATGGGCATGGCATCTGGGGCAGGAATGAGTGGTGGTGGAGTTGTTGGGAGTCTGGGTCAAATGCTTGGTCCTGATAATCTCCTCAGCCAGACGATGGGATCTGCTTCCCCTGCTACATCTCGCAGAAGGGTAACAAAGTACAGCACTATACAGTATTCTAATCAATAAAGCCACTCACAGTGATGTGCTGTTGCAAAACTATCATAGATTCTCCACCAAACAACATTTTGTGTATGGTTTATTTTTACATATAACGAACTGCACAAGGAGGTAAAATGAATTATTCTTTCCTGAAAAAGAATCATGTAAAGCTTCCCAGGTCCAAAAGGAAACACAGAGGAAGTGTCCACATAGGAAAACTCTGGTGCATGTTTTCCCCAAAATATAATTGGGCACAAAAAGTCTTTTGTACATAACTGTACTCTTCCCTCTCCCCCCCAAAAAATCCAGTATTATGTGTCATGGTAATATTGCTGAATGGTGAGAGTGAGGTACCATTTAAGTCCCCATTGCCGATCATCAAATATGAGAATAAGTCACCATTCTTTAGGACCTTCTGTTATGAACTCGAAGTTTTTCCAGGTAGCCACAGAATTATCATCTTGAACCTGAAACTCTTTATTAGTTCTGTCTTCAGTTTCACTGATGCAAAGCATTACAGCATATATTGCTCACTGTCCTTGTTATGGTGTTTATTCTACCGGATACATTGGCAAAAATATATACCAACTGGGGGAAACAATAACATTCTCAAACTAAGAGTGCAGTAATCCAGGAAAGATTAAAGGAGTAATATATTGTGACAGTAAATTTGAGTATTACGACGTTTCTCCCCAGACTTCTTCCCTAACAAATATGTACTTTTGCTATAACAGATGATCATTGCCTAAATGTTTGCTATTTTTTACATGCTGCTGCAAAACACGAAGGCTGAAGCCCTAAGTGGGATTACTAGGAGTAAGTCCCACTGGAATCAGTGAGGTTTACATCTATGCAAATATAAATATAGTGGAGGAAGCATCAAATTGCACTACACAGATCTTTTGTAATTTTATTGCTTTCATGGAAGCTAAAAAATATGTAAAACTGGATCAATAAATCATGGGGGTAGGGGGAATACTATATTGGCCAGGACCCAAACATTCAGAATTTATGCCCATTTCATTGCAATGGTTTTAATCCAAGAATCTTGAAAGGAAGGTTTGATGGGGCTCTTGAGAGTTTGGTTAGATATTGCTAGCTTCTCTCACAAAACTACAGTCTAAGGACGCCCTATAGTTGTATAATTTAAGGAGTTAATAAGCCATATGTGTTCTTTCTATGTGTAACTATTGCTGTTGCTAGTGCCTCTTGGGAAAACTTCTTTTCTGGTTGGTTAGCTGGTTGGAATGTGCCATCAAATCAGAACTGACTTATAGCAACCCTAATAGGACTTTCAAGATAAGTGTGATATTTAAGGACTAGTTTTAAAAGTTCCACTCGCCCAATGAATTCCCATGGCTGATTTGAACCCTGGTCTCCAGAGTCCTAGTCCATCGCTTTATCCATGTACCACACTGGGAATCCCACTCCAGTTAGGTATCTGGCTGAGAAGCCAAAAGTTGGGAGGTAAATACCCATTATGCCTCCTGGAAAAAGAACCAGAACGTGTGGCCTTGGGCAGGCTGTGCAGTCCCAGGGTGCCCCCAGAAGATGGGAATGGTAAATCACTTATGAGTATTGTCTACCTAGAAATCCATGAAATTGGTTGCCATAGGTCAGAATTGACGTGACTGCTCCTTTTCTACTTCTGTTTGTTTGAACTATTTTTAAAAATCCAATGCTATGAGAATAATGTTTGCATGGGGTTGAAGCCAGACTCTTGTCATACTTGAAGCAGACCCATTGAAATCAATGGGACTTCATGACTCATTCAGTTAAACTGAACAGGTTGACTCTTAAATACAACTAAAACTGGCTTCAACCCATTGCATTTAAATTCTTTCAAACTGGTTGTCCATCTCAGTTTAGTTATAGGTTGAAATATTAATGATCAATGCTTTTGCAGTCATTCAAATGAAGCAGCATGTAATTGTTCTCATGAAAAAAATCTTCAAAAATGTGAAGCCTTCAAATCTGGAGAAAGGGGGGAAATCGTTTCTTATTTGATTTTACAAGCTACTGTTCAAAACAAGTGTTTCTCTTTTATATGTTAACTCCTCTGAATGACTGTTCATAACTGACTTTCTGCAAGCATATGAGTTATGCATACATTTTATGCCAAAGATTAGTTTACATTCTACAATATGTAGAAGTATTTCACTGTGCAAAATTATGATGGTGGAAATCTATAACATTGTGATGTCCATAGTATTAAATGGTGATCCCCCCCCCTCTTGGTGGCTCAAATCTTATTGGGGTTCACTGTGGAAAAAGTGAAATCACATTAGTCCTGGTGGCAAATTGCAGCTAATTAGCTAAGTGTTCATTGGCCATCTCATGAGAAGAGAAGACTCCCTGGAAAAGACCCTGATGTTGGGAAAGTGTGAAGGCAAGAGGAGAAGGGGACGACAAAGGATGAGATGCATGGACAGTGTCATCGAAGCAACCAACATGAATTTGACCCAACTCTGGGAAGCAGTGGAAGACAGGAGGGCCTGGCATGCTCTGGCCCATGGTAGTCATGAAGAGTCGGACACGATTTAATGACTAAACAACAAAACGAAGTGCTGGCCATTTGCCTTGTTCCATTATTGGAATGCAATCAGCCATACAATTGGCATGCTGTTAATTAGCTACAATTTGCTGCCATGATTTACATGATTTAATTTAATACAGAATAAAATCCCAGTAGGATTCCTGCCAATGTTTGTGAAAATGAATTATGTATTTGAACTAATATCTGCAAGTAAACATTTTAAAAATTGCATATTTTATGTATAGTAACTGATGTTATCACCGCCGGTCATGGATGCTTTTTACACAGGAATTGTTTAATACATAGCAAACATAAGCTTTGGTATTTGCTTTTTCACTTTCATACTAGAAATAATTCTGTCCCCCAGTTGCATACCCATAGCATTTCCTATTGCTATTTTCTGTTGTGACTATTTTTTATCAAAAAAAATTGTTGTATCTGTGAGTAAACTATTGAACCTTTGGATTTACAATAAATTGGCAAACATTTATTTGAAGATGTAAAATAGTATTTCGTTTAATAAAATCTTCTGGCTAAACTCTCTTGGCTGAGTGCTGAAAGCAATTTATAAGTTCTTATGTAACAGCCCTAAGGGCACGCTTCTCTAAGGTAGAATTTGGAAATGTTATCTTTTTTGGCCAGTAGAACTCCTGAGGTGACATGTCAGATGTGACTGGCAGATTTGGAAACTACAGTTTAAAAAAATTAATGTTTTCTATTCCCTGTCCTGGAGCAACCTTCCCCAACCTGGCACCCTCCAGAGCCTACAATCAATAATTAATACTTGCTCAGACCCATTCACTTATTAAGCCACTTCACAATACAGTATTTGCAATTCAGAATGGAAGGAGCTGGACCAAATAGGGTTACTTCAGCTCCAATGTGCCAGTTGGATATGAGGATCATACCAAATGGCATATCACACCTCCACACGACCACAGGTGACCAAATTTCACCCATACCAGCCCATTCCAAAATGAGGAGTATAGATGGGAGTGAATCTTACAAGAAAGAAGGAAAGCCATAGAAGTTTTGTACCAGCTACCAAATTTGTGGATTCGGCTTTGGGCAATTTCTCAAACAGTCCTTTAAGCTACAGCAAAGAAAGTAATTTTTATTTCAAATCTCCTGCCCTTCCACTGGGGACAATTTGGTTTGCTCTGGTGATTACATCATGTGATCACCAGGAAAATAAAAGAGCAAATTAAACTGCCCCTGCAGTGGACCAAACAATAGGACAAATGCCCATATAAGATATTTATATTGAAGGCTAGTGTAAAGGTCTGGTTTGAACATGTTCTTCCATCTGTCGCTTGGCCAGTGAACAAAAACCTACTAGTTGGGTGGGACAGACAGCCAAACAGACAGACAGACAGACCTACATATGAGCTTTCCTTGGCCTTCTTTGCTGTGGCCCTCACCCAGGATTCCAGGCCAGAAGGCATGGCCATGCATTGTCTTTTTACCTCTTTCAGACTATATTTTAATAAAAACCTGCCTCAACCTTCCATTTATCTTTCTTATGCAACTAGTAATCTCCCAAGTGTATTAGTTGCTGTTCAACGTTCTGTTACTAAGAAACTTAATTTGTATGGAACTGTGGACTGAATGTGAATTTAGCTGCTGGGGTAGACATATAGCCGGACACAAACTGAGCCTAGAACAATTTCTGTGTATTAAAACCCATGAAAAATCCTGCATAAAATACTAAAAGTGTAGCCTGTGCTGTGCAGGGTTTTTTAAGGTAGGAGGGGACTTGGTATTATACCTCACCAACTTTCTGCACATTTTTAAGCTCCACTCCATATGAGGCACATGTATACTGGTCTGAACATGTATGTTCAGAAGACAACATCCATAACCTCCATTCTTCCAGAATATATGTTATGCTTACACGCAGAGTTTATCTTGAACCTGTCCCATGAATAAAAGTTCTACACATTGAATATTTGTCCATCACTAATACTGAGGTGGAAACTGAAGACACCTTTGTCCGTGCAATTCCAAGTTGCAACTTCCAGTAAATAAAGGAAATGTCTGCAATGACCACATTGTAACTAGAGATGGGGTATTTCTATCTGTATACAAATATGAATACTCCAGCACAGCTGGAGATCGAGGGTCTGACCCCATGGTGCCGGATGGTGCACCCACCAATCCGCCACGGCTGCAGGTTCCGCGATCCCATCCTATCACTCCAGAGCTCATGATTGGTGAGCCACTCTTCAACCTGGCAGAGAGGCTTGTCATCCTGCCAGGAGAGGTTATTCTATCACAAGCTCCAGAGTAATAGGACGGGATTGCGGAGCCCGCGGGCAGTGGTGGATCAGTGAGTGGACTGTCCAGAGCTCCAGAGTAATAGGATGGGATTGCGGAGCCCGTGGCAGTGGCAGATCAGTGAGTGGACTGTCCAGCACCATGGGGTCAGACTCTCATTATCTCCACCTGTGCAGGGGTAGGAATCAAAAAAGGAATCAAAAAAGATTAAGGGTATAGATAGAGTTAATGGAATGAAACAGATTTGCATATGTCAGGAATTTCTATATGAGGAATCAAAAAAGATTAAGGGTGTAGATAGAGTTAATGTAATGAAGCAGATTTGCATATGTCAGGAATTTCTATATGCCGCAGGATTCTGCTTAAGCAACATGTACTGATTCTTATGAACACAATCCACTCCAAAGGGACATGTTTCTTCTATTTATTTATTATTTATTTATTTATTTAAAATATTTTTACCCCGTCTTTCTCGTTAAAAGGAC